GAGAGAGAGAGAGAGAGAGAGAGAGAGAGAGAGAGAGAGAGAGAGAGAGAGAGAACGAGATCCCTCTGTTGGCTCTGAAAGATCCAACGTGCTTATCTATGATGAGCTGATTTGAAGTTGGAGAACAGCAGGCGTGGGTGGGCATGCTGAGACTCAGCCCTGGGAAGACGTGCACAGGACCTCAGTTCAAACTAAGTGTGTGCTTGGGGAAGCAAGTTGGCATGTTATGACTCAGTTTCTCTTCTTGGATCACATACCCTGTAAAGGACCCAGCTGCGACTAATGTGGATGTATTACTGCAACAGTTGGGGTTATGCCATACTATACTTGCAAAAAGAAATATACTAAAACACTTTATCTGAGATATGGAAACAATTTTATGATAAGCTTGGTGATGCATGCCTGTCATCCCAGCACTAGGGAATCAGAGGCAAGCTCAGCCTGGTCTATATAAGAAGTTCCAGGCCAGCCAGGGCTACGTAGTGAGACTCTGTTCTGTCTAAAAAACAAGAAGAAGATTGGGCTGGCGAGGTGGCGTAGCTAGTGAGGAAACTTGTCCACAAGCGTGATCTCCTGAGTTGGATTCCTTGGACCCCCGTGATGGAAGGAGCAAACCAACCCTTAGGAGTAGTTCTCTGATCTCCACACATGCATGCACACATGCACATCCACAAAGAAATAAATATATATATATTTTAATCTCTTTAAGAGACCTAAATTTACTTAGCTGGAACTTCTTGGTTTCTCATGATAACATGAAGGAGCCAAATGTGTGCCAGAAAGACAGCTTTCCTGGTTTGTGCTTGTGTATTGCTTCTGGTTACTGTATGCCAGCATCCTTTTCTGGGCAGATGTTCATCTTCCATTCTTACACTTGTCTGGGTTTGGGTCCTTATGCTTGTTTTTTATTTATTTGGTTTTAGTTTTGTTTTGTTTCAAGACAGAGTCTTGTTACATAGTCCTGTCAGGTTCAGACTCTACAAACTCCTGCTATAGTGTCCTGGGTGCTGGGATTCTGGCATGCCCAGCTTATGCTTTATTCAGCTTTGCTGGGCCCCACAATTTTGGGCATACAAAAGTGGAATACATTTATTTAGTCCCCTGAGGGAATCTTGAGCATTGTTCCCACGGGATCAGATTAGGTTTTGTGTCTTATTAGCAGCCTGTAAACACAATAGCTTTGTGTGGTGCAGGATTGCTAAGCACAGAGTCCTTTGAGACAGCAGCATTTTATTGCCTTGTCTGTGACTCTGCAGAGATGAGCAAACCTGTTGAGGAAAGACTTAGAGTTTAATGTACAACATGACAGAGTTCTGGGAGGACTTACATCGTCCCTTAGCAGAGCCATAATTGACTTCGGTAAGGTGAACAGCTTTCCTGTATATTCTAGCAGGGATTCTATTGAATTAAAACTTGCCACATGTTTTTATGATGATGGAATTAGGACCCCTTTCAAGGGCTCTTATTAATAATTGTTCCTGTTCTCTAGAGGCAGAAGAATGAGCCCTCCAACTTAGAAACAATCCTCTTTGCCCATTTTTTTTTAACTTTTATTTATCATTATCATATTGTGCTATGTGAGTGCAGGTGTGCATATGCCATGGTGTCGTTGTGGAGATCAACATAGCGAGCACTTTTACCTGCCAAGCCACCTGACTGACCCTAAAGATGTAGCTTGAGCTGCCCTCCAACACCTGGTCCTCCTGCCTCTGCCTCCTCAGCATATCCTACTGACATGTGCCACCACGATGGGCACCTTGGCTGATTCATGGTAGCACTATTAGACCAATTTTCCTCCTGTCTGTGGGCTCTTTTCTGGCCAAGATTGGTACACATAGTAGGGATGCATTATGGGAGTGTAGCCTGTAGTGTGAGTGCTTACCATGAAGTGGTCTAGACTCTGGAAGGTACCATGGCCGTTCTTTAAGATGTCCCAGGAAAGACGTCCCGTGACTGTCACCATTAACGTTCAGCAAGCATTTGTTGGGTGCCTATTGGGTGAATAACCAGTGACGAATAAAACATTACTCTCACCACCAAAGAGCATATAGCTAAATTAGACATGTAAACAAATAATTACAACCAGGTTTGGTAAGTGCTGTTCTAGAAATATGCACTGAGTTGTCAGTGGAATTACAGGGACAGGAAATTAGGAAGGACTTGACAGAGGAAGGGATAGTTGACCTGTGAGTCCTGAGGCAAGAGAGGGTTACTCTAGGAAAACAGTGAAAGAAAAACATCTCTGGCATCACTGCTAAACATCCTTGTTCCAAGTGGGAGGTCAGGGCTGACCTTTTAAATGGTGTGATAGAGCATGAGCTGTCTTTGTGTACCTGGTACATGACCTTCCCAAATACTCCTCAGTGAAGTTATTGTAAAAGCTTGCTTTATGACCCACATAAGACCTGGCCCATGAGTTTCCCTAATACTTGCTAACTAAGATAATTGTGGCATGGATTCATGGACACTTGGTTTGGTTTTGTTTGTTTTATGAGACATGGTCTCAATATAGCCCAGGCTGGCCTGGAACTTCCTGTGTAGCCCAGACTAGCTTCAAATTGGAGGTCTTCCTGCCTCAGCCTCCTGAGTGCTGGGACAATTATATACCACTGCATCTGGCTGTGATAGCTAATCTTGAAACAAAACTTGAAGATAAAAAGACATGCCACTTGGGAGATAAAAAAGGAGGAATCAGAGTGGCATTATATGTAGCTGTTAACTCAGGTAACCTCCTGTTTTAATTTTTTTTTTTCTTGAGACAAGGTCTTGCTATCTAGTAGCCCAGGCAGGCCTCAAACTTGTGATTCTCTTACTTTGGATCATACCATTCTGTATTACAGAAATATCCACTTATTTCTAGCTCCATTTCCATATCTTTCAGAACAGAGGGACTTCTCTGACTAGTTCTGCTACTTTGAAACTAATCTCTAGTTGTCCTTTTATGTGTCTTCATTTTTTTAGAGATTTATTTATTGATTATATATATAGTGTTCTGTCTACATGTATGCCTGCACTCCAGAAGAGGGCACCAGATCTCATTCTAGATGGTTGTGAGCCACCATGCAGGTGCTGGGAATTGAACTCAGGACCTCTGGAAGAGCGGTCAATGCTCTTAACTGCTGAGCCATCTCTCCAGCCCATGCCTTCATTTTCTAAAGGCAACAGCGAACATTTTCTTCACACTATAAACTACATAACAAGTAGGAAAGGAGTACACAGTTGAGACAGAGATGTCCGTGCAGATGAACTTGGACGTCCAAAAGAGTAAGAAGTGATCAGGAAGAGCTGGGTCCTCCTGAGAAGTCAAAACCAGGAAGTGAAATGGTTGAAAAGAAGGAGAAAGGGCACTGCTTCTCAAGGGCTTTTTATTCAGGAGAGAGCCACTAAATATGGTTAAATGTGGCTTGAAGCTAAGCTAAGAGAGCCAGTAGCAAAGGCTGGGTTAAATGACTACAGGGAAATTAAATGAGCAATGAGATTTTTTTTTTTTTCTTTTTCAATTAGGAGCCGAGGATTGAACCCAGGGCCTTGCGCTTGCTAGGCAAGCTCTCTACCACTGAACTAAATCCCCAACCCCAAGCAACGAGATTTTATCAAGCTTTTTCACGGGAGCTTTCTAGAGTAGTGTAATTCCAGAAGACTGGTTTGAGGTGTTATGGCAGGTCTGCAGATCCTTGAAGAAGCTGAAGCTCTCAGTTGTAAGAACCTTTCAAGCCCAAGCCCTGTACGGCTGTCACCCCCACCTCCTCTCAGCGGAGGCTGTGTTTTCTTTAGGAATGAAATGTGTGTGCTCTTGGTAGCTAATCCTTTTCTCTCCCCCTCTTTTCCTAAAGTTTCTGAAGATTTTTGTGTAGAGGGAGCTTGGGTGGTTCTATTTTTACAAGAGACAGAAATGGACTTAGGCTGAGCAGGCAGGATTGAAGTTAGGGACACAAAAGGATTCCTGTACTAAAAGGTTGTTTTAAAATCGTCTTTCTTAGTCACTGTTAATCTAGTCTAGGTTGTATATTATTTCTTTAGATTTTCTTCTAGCCCAGCTTTGTAATTGCATGGCTATTCTTGTTCTTTTTCCTGTACAATTATATGGTACTATTTTGGGCCTTTTAATATGTGGTAGCTCTAAGAGTGTGTAGGTAGGATTCATAAAAGAGTGAAGACCAGCGATAATCTAATTTCAGCCTTTGTGCAGTATTTGAGCCCAGATATTAGTATCAAACGCCTTTTCTGCCTTTTTGGTAGAGGGAAGCATACTTATTTTCAAAGCATTGGTGAATCATAAGCTCTAACTTGATGCTGACAGCTTGGGAGAATGGTTAGTAGGGTCTCTGGCTATTAACATTTTAAAAATAAGCACTCTGGGGCCTGGGGATGCAGCTCGGTTGCTGGAATGCTTGCCTGACATGTATGAAATCCCAGGCCCCATTTTCAGCACAATATAAACCAAGCCGAGTAGCACACACCTGAAATCCCAGCACATGGAAGGTTGGTGCCAGCCTGGATTATTTGCAACCCTGTCTCAAAAAATGAAGAAAGTAAACCTTGTTCCAGGACCCATTCTCATTGTAGGGAGTCAGAGCCTCTTGGAGTTTGGTAGCTGTGTATCTATTAAGTTCTATCAGAAGCTCACTGTCATTTATAGTACTTCCGGCCTAAGTACTGTATCACTGACATCTGTTGGTTTCATACCCAAATTCTCACTGAGCTTTATTGACAGTGCATCAGTCCAGCTTGGGACATATGCTCTTTTCCTTGAATCGTTTTTTATTCTTCTCTGTCTTGTAGAGTCATAGCTGTGTAAACCGCATTGGCGTGGATCTAACAGAGGTACACTGCCAGGAGGTCAGACCTGTGGAGTCAGCTGCTGTCTTACTGAGACAGTTCTCCAGGAGTTTCCCTTCCAATCAGGAGTAGGAAACTAGAGGATAGCATCTGATGAGCCCAGGCAGGCAGGCCTGCAGCTCACCCTTCCAGGGATGGTTGACTTTCACTCCTGGGAGCGAACAGACTTTATTGTTTGACATCTACTTTCTGAACTCTCCACTTGTGATAGATGACCAAGAACAGAGGTCTCTTAGCCAGTAGCTTAGCACATCCCTCCCTGCAACTCTCTGTTCTCCTGCCTCAGCCTCCCCAGAGCTGGAGTTGTTGACATCCGCCGCCATGCCTGGCTGCGGTATGCTCCGGTACTGAGGCTTGTGAAGTGGCTTGAAATGCTTGAACAGTGCTCCTCTTGGGTTTTGTCTGCTCGCCTTTCTTCTGGAGCCCCAAGCCTTATAGTGATTCTCACTGAGAGAGAAGGACACCTCTTCCTTTACTGTCTAAAAATATCCTGGCCTCTTGAGCCTCTGAGTAGTGTCTCCAGAGGCTCTGAGTGTCTCCAGAGGCTCTGAGTGTCTCCAGAGGCTCTGAGTAGTGTCTCCAGAGGCTCTGCTCACCTCCTTGGCCCCTCTCACTCTGCTGTTTGGGCCAAGTTATCCTGTTGGATCAGCCTTTGGTCATTTTTTTTTTTCTTTTGCCGTGCCAGGATTAAACCCAGAGACTGGTTAGGCAAACATTCTATCACCACACTATATCATGTCCTCAAGCTCCTCCCTCACCATATTGAATGGCTTGAGTTCCTAGGGATTGGACCTTGGAATTTCTCACTTCACCTCCGTCGCCCCCTGTGTGTTTTCATCTCTTGATGCCTGAGGAAACACAGGTGGATGGGAGGCTTCGGCCTGCTTCTCTGCCCCACCCCCAGCCCCTTGGCTCTCTAGCTGGGCTTGGAACTGCTGTCACTGGCCTTGGGAGAACAGTCAAGGGCTTGAAATCCGGGATGGTGTTTATTCAAGCTAAGCTTCTCTGAGAACATCGGCTATCAAGCTGTCCTTAGAGTATCTTGCTTTTACTTCATGTTCAGGCCGTGTTGTTAGGAAAAGCTACAGTGTTTCCATAGGCTTGGCTATGTTAGACATCTGTTTGCGCTGCCGCCGCAAGCTAAGCCTCCTCTTTCTGCTCCTTTTTCAGCACAGAGCAAGGGGTTTTCTGTCAGCTGCCGTTCCTCAGCTCTTCCCTGGTGCTCATATAGTGCAGACCAAGGCTAACCCACCTTTTTTGGTGTTTACTGTTCTACTGTTGGGAGAATTCCATCTCTGGGGAGACATAAACAGCACCTACTCCCTCCTCATAAAGTCCCAGTGAGAAACCAAAGTCACATTCCACCAGAATCCACCCTGGGGAGCCAGTAAGTTTATTGTGCTTGCTACAGAGCATGGGGAAGGGGTGACAGGCATGTGGGGAAGCCCAGAGTTGCCATACCAGAAAGTCTTAACAGAACGTGAATGATGTCGTCTCCATAGCCTCCTAGATGGAGGTCCGCCCACTAACCTTGCCCAGCCTGAATGTTCTAGCTCCTCCCCAGACACCTTGACACCCGATGGTGCACATGCAATTAAGGCAGAATCATGTACAAGTGTCTGGGTGGTGCAGCGAAGCAGCTGGAATCTCGGGAGAAGGTGCAGTGACCTTCCCACTCCCCTGAGAGGACATCAGCAGACCACAGACGCTTTGGTGGTGGTCTCTTGCCAGCATGGCTGATCTCCTGGGGATGGCAGCTGTTCTGCTTGGCTTTGCCTTATTTTTCTCAACGACAAGAACTTCCTGTGTAGCCCAGGCTAGCCTTGAACTCATGGTAGTTCTCATGCTTCAGCCATGCCTCCCACTGCTGGGATTAGAGGCTTGTGCTACCCCAACCCTTAACTTCTATTACCTCATATTTAAAATTTAAAGATTAAAGGGGGCAGGGGTTGGTAAAGGGAGAATAAAAGTGAGCCTAACAGCCATGCTGAGCAATGTGGATCCTTAGGATTTGGAATTTTGAATGTTGATATTTTTCTACATCCATCCTCACTCGGCACTTTTAACAGCGAGCCCATAGGCTGCTCTTACTTTTGGGGAACAAATCCTGGCTAAGAGTTGTAGGCTGGGTTCAAACTCACAGCCCTCTGGCTGCTCTAACTTCCTGTGGGTTGGGATTGCAGGGAGCACCCCCATGCCAGCTGCATTCATAATGCCTCTTACTCTGGTCTTGAAGGACATCAGAAGGGTTCCCAGTGCAGTCTCCTCCGAGACTGCTGGGGAGTACTCCATCTCACTGCAGCCGAAACTGTGTGCAATGCTTTTTCAGACTTTCCTAGTGTGCAAGAAGCATTTGTTGAAGACTGGGTTTATAAGCTCACACATCTCACCCTCCCCTAACTGAAACGAGACTGAGGATGCTTTCTCTCTTTCCTTCGTTCACAGTTGAGATTTAAATTTACTTAAGATCTTGGAACACTTCTTGCAGCCATATGGCTGATATTACCCTCCACACACGTTGTCAAATGCTCTTTTAGAGGCTTCACGAGAAAGGAGGTTTTGTGGAGTTTTCTTTTTGTTGTTGTTGTTCTTTGGAAACTTTGTTTTTTGGTGCTGGGGTTAGGACCCAAGGCCTTGGTCTAATAGGCAAGTGCTGTACCTGGGAGCCAGACCTCCCACCCTGTGCTTTGGGAGCTGAGCATTCCTTTCCACTTGATGAGGCAATAACGCTTCTCAGCCTTTGAGATCTGCCTGACTTTAGTGGTGCTTCTGGCCATTTCTCATATGCTCATCTGACCTCTTACAGGTGCTGGCATGTAACAGAGAGACAAAACTTTTAAGGATACATGAAATATAGCACACAGAAAAGTTTATGAGACATAATAGTATATCATGAATAATTGTTTCCACCATGCATGATGGAGTTCGAGTGGATAGTAGGAAGCTTCAAAGCCCAAACTTAATCTTTAGTTTGTATTCCTTCCAGAAGAAGCTTCATTTTCAGAAGGATGCGTCCCATTGCTATAGCTAGCGTACAGTGTATGGGTTGGAGAAGATGTGTTTTTGTTTGTTTGTTTTAAACACACATTTTTACCAGGAATAGTGGCACAGGCCTGTGATCCCAGCCCTTAGGAAGTGGGAACAGGAGGCTGGAGACTTCAGGATCATCCATCTTATCATCAAGACCACAGAGAATTCAGCCTGGGCTACATAATACCCAATCTCAAAAAAAAAAAAAAAAATTGTGAACACACACGCTCACTCTTTTCCATAACTTCCTGTGGAAAGGTCAGTGAAATGGACTTCTCAGCTGCCGCTTTACAGCCATCTCTAGTAACCTTTGCCTGTTTGTATTCTTGCTTCTCTTCCCCCCCCACTGACACCCCCCCACCCCACCCCCCCACTCTCCTGATTCTCCCACAGCTTGTCCGGTGATACTGTTAGGAAGCATTTAACCTGTGGGTCTGTGGGTAATTGACTGGCAAGTTATTGCAGCTGTGTGGTTCCAGATGCCTGAAGCCACAAGCACCTGCTGCCGCTTTTAGCATTGGTGGGGAGTGGAGACCTTGGTCATCTCTGTGGCAGCGGGGATGGCTGGGTTTTCCTCTGAGGTACTTTGGCAGGTTAATCGCATCTCTCGTGTTCTTGAGGAGGGCCGAGTGTAATGCTGGATAGTTCCCTCCAACTGTACCTGTTTGTTATTTTAGCCTATAACCAACTTTATTTTTTGAATCATGGAGGATGCTGAGTGAAATCTTTATTTTTGTGAGAAACAAAAACTATCTCAAATGCGCCATGCAAGCTAAGACTGACCTGGATGATGACAGAACTGGGTGAATTTGAACACAAGCAGAAACGAGGCCACTTGCTCACCTGACTCCCTTTATCTGCATGGGCTCCAGGGTTATACATTTCCTCGAGCAGATGTCTGCCCTTACCTGACCTCAGATCTGTATGGTTTTGATTTCTTCTCTCAAGTAGTCAAGTGTGACCACACTGTAAGTGCAAAAACGTGGGTCTCAAGGCGTGCTCCCCTGCATTGCTCACACCCAGGCCTGCCTTCCAGGGCTGTCGTGAGGCTTAAATGAGATTTAGTGACCATGAAAGAGAAATGTAAAAGACCCCAAATAACTTCACAGCTGTAAGGGGTTGCTAATAGTAACAGAGCACAAAGATTTGTAGAATGTCAAGGAACTTTGTTCTAATTTGCTGGTAAAATTCCGTTCCTTCTAGTTTCCACTTGTGAGAAGTCCCCTTTTGTAGGTTCAGTATCTTTTGTTCCAACATTTAACACTTCCTTAGTACCTTTTCCTTGCCAATGATTTAACTTGTGTCAGCAGTACTAATTGAAAGGGTTAGTCGTGTTCTTTGTGTTTGTAGTGTATGAGCACATGTATGTACACATGCTCACACTTGGAGACCTGAGAAGTCAGGTGTCCTGTGCTATCACTTTCTGCCTTGTTCCTTTGAGACAAAATCATTGAACCTGGAACCAGCCCACTGGTCAGCATTCCCCAGGTGTCTCCTCTTTACCCACATGGTGCCAGGATTACAAGATCAGGATCACACCAACTCTTTCCGTGGGTGCTGGGGTGTGAACTCAGCTCCTCATACGTGTCCAGCAAGCATCCTTTCCCACCAAGTCAGCATTCCACCCCACAGTTTCTCTTTGATACTAACTACGTTATCATTTATTTCTATGCTATTCTATATATATGTTTGTTACAATTAAAAGCCAAACTAGGGGCCGAAGAGATGGCTCTCTGATTATGAGCACTGGCTGCTCGTCAAAGGACATGGGTTCGACTCCCAGATCCACATATCAGCTCACACCCATCTTTGTAATTCCTAAGGTTCCAGGGGATCTGACACCCACCTCTAGCCTCTGGGCACACAGGCACACAGGCACGCATGTGGTGCACAGACACGTACGTATTCAGGCAAAACACTCATACATGGAAAGTAAGTCAAACCAGTGAGTTCAAGGGGTAGCGGTGAGCCCTAAGTTTCCATGTTAGATCAAAGCTACTGTGGTTATGAGTGTGTTTTGTAGTAGCAATGCCTTCAACAAGGCAGAGAAATAATTTTTCTTTAGGGGAGGCTAATTCATTATAGTGAAATAATTGAGAATTATATCAGTCCTATAATTTCAGTCAAAGAAGTTTTTTTGGGGTAGGGGATTGTCTCAAGACAGGGTTTCTCTGTGTAGCCCTGACTGTCCTGGGACTCACTCTGTAGACCAGGCTGGCCTCAGACTCAGTGATCCACCTGCTTCTTCCTCCTGAGGACTGGGATTAAAAGCATCAGTCTAAGAATTTGAAGTCAGTGTAAAAACATATTAATTTTATAGCCCACTAAGTTTCTAATTTGTTACTGTAGTGAAATTTCTATTGAAACAATTTGGTGGAGCTGATGTCTGTGGTGCATCCCTGGAGTCTCAGAACTTCTAAGACTTAGGCAGAAGGGTCAAGAGTTTGAGGCCAGCCTGGGCTCAGGAAGACCTTGTCTCAAAACAGATCAACAACAACAAAGAAGAAGAAAGAATTTATACACACACACACATACACATACACACACACACACACACACACACACACACACACGTGAAAATAATAAAAATAGACTCTTCAGAATTTTTTCTTGAAAATCTGGGATATCCTTGTGAATTTGAGATGCATTACTTCTCATATCTTTAGAAATATTTTCTTGTTTATGTTTAGTCGATAAAATCTTTTGATGTGAGTCAAATATTTTGGCTTATGCCTTTAATCCCAGCACTCGGAAGGCAGAGGCAGAGGCAGGTGTATCTCTGTGAGTTCAAGGCTAGCCTGGTTTACAGAACTAGTTTCAGGACAGCCAGGGCTCTACAATGAAACCCTGTATTGAAAAGCCAGAAAATAAATAAATGGACAAAAATGTTTTGATGCTTTTTAAGTGGCACATGCTTTGTAAAAAGAGTTTACTCATGGGTAATGTAAAGAGGAAGGAATCAGGAAGGAAATGTCCCATAATTTCAACACTCAGAGAGACCACTGAAAGTTCAGACTCAGGAGATGTGTGACCTTTGAACTGGTCTGTGCATGAAAGGTAGGATTTTGGTATGTGTTGGGAGAAGAAATACAAGCTAAAGCCCCAAGGCTCTTTTTTGGGAATAATGAATAACCTGGATTGACAAATGTTTCTTTTAGGTGAGTAGCAGGAAATTGAATTAGATTTAGGGGCTGGTGATGCTAAGTGCAAATATCTACACTTTGTTTAGCTGGCAACAAGGACCCCTAGAAAGCTTTTGAGCATGAAGAAAGGGCAAAGTCCACAGGAGGGGGTTGATATGAAAGCCCTTGCTACCTCCAGGAAAGTGAGGAAGGCCTGGGGATATGGAAAGGAGTCTTGAGGCCCAGGTCTGCCTGACAGCTGGAGCACTAGAGCCCCCACCCCCCACCCCATCTTCTCAGCCACACATTCCCTCTACCCAGGTCATCTGGGCAAGGAACTGTAGTACTCTCCCTGCTGACAGAGGGGACCCAGGAGATCACGGGAGACAGCGGGGCTGTGTGGCTTGGTAAATGCCCCTCCCTGTTGCTGGTTTGGACAGGGCCTCCTGTAGTTTGAGGCTGCCTTCAAGCTCACTACGTAGCTGAGTTCCTCATCCTCTTGCCTTTAACTCCCTGGGATTACAGGTGTAGATGACCACATCTGGCTTTAATTAGGCCTTTTTGAGGACCGGACTTCGGTTCATAGAGCTTTGCGATTCTGGTCTTAGTATAGAGAAGTCTGACATTAGAGGGGAAAGTCCCCTCCCCCATCCTGTCTGAACTGAACTATCTGCTCCTGTCTTTGCTTTTCTGGTAACCATGGAAAAGTAAGAGAGGGTCAGAAGGCTTCCTCTGCGCAGGCCCTGAGCCGTAAGGCTGCTCACTGGGCACATGACGGTGACTGTGCCGTCGCTGGGCTCTAGCAGGAGTCGCTCATTCCCTCTGCCTTGGGCTGATGCTCCCTTGCTTCTCCCTTCATCTGCAGAGAAAATCACCCTCTCCTAACACTGCAACCCCAGTTACCTTGGAAGCAGGTGTCTTCAGATGGACCATAGGTTGCAGCACGGTCCAGACGTGGCCAGGGTCTGACCACATCTGCAGCCTGGCATTAGGAACCCTCCTTTCATCTCTTTGCAGCCATCTCCTGAGGAGAGACCAGAACCCATTTTTATAGACGTCTCAGCTACTGATAGTGTGACTTTTTTGTTTTTTGGTTGTTTTGTTTTTTGAGACAGGGTCTCTCTACATAGCCCTTGCTGTCCCGGGACTTACTATGTAGTAAGTTGGCTGGCCTCAAACTCACAGAGATCCACCTTCCTCTGTCTCCCAAATGCTGGGATTAAAGGCGTGCGCCACTCCATTAAGTTCAAGTAGTGATTTAAAAAAAAAAAAAAAAAAAACATTAAAGCCGGGGCAGGAGAGATAGCTCCGTAGTTAAAGGGCACCCTGCTCTTTAGAGGATAGGATTCAGTTCCCAACACTGTCAAGCAGCTCACAACTACCTAAGACTGCAGTCCAGAGAATCTGGAACCCCCCCCCCACACACACACACACTTAACTAACTGATTGATTAAAAAATAAAATAAATCTCTAAAAACAAAACAAAAGCATGAACCTGGCATGAGAAGCATGTATTTTACCCGTTTTATCCTGATACCCTCTGTCTTCTCTTTTCTAGTGGTTTTGTTGTGTTTTGAGACAGGTTGGCCTGGACCTCACTTCTTGCTATGTAGCCCAGGCTAGCTTCAAACTTGCAATGGTCCTCCTGGCCTCAGTCTCTAAAATGCTAGGATTACAAATGTGTATCCACTATATTCGGCCCTACCCCAACCCCCATGCTGCACTTGAACTCTTGGGTTTCTTAACTTTCCAAGTCGCTAGGACCACAGACACATGCCTGTCATTGTGCCCATGTGCCCTCAGCCTCCTTGGTTTTCAGGCCTGTCCCTGTTATGCACTCAAAGGTGAGTTGACCCCTAGTGTGTTCTAACAGAAATGGCAACTCCAAATTCTGTTTGTGTTGGAAAACCCAAATCTCTGCCTCAGGACACTGTGGTGTCTGCTACCAGGCTACCCTGGGTCTACACTCACTGTTTACCTGATTCATTCATTCATTCATTCATCCATCCATCCATTGATCCATCCATTCATCCATTCATTCATTTATTAACATTTTTTTTCCATTTATTTTACTTACCTGTGACATGGGTATACTACTAGTCCTTCATAAAGTTGTCTAGAGTGGTACATTAGATACTCAGTGTGAAGTGCTTAGAGCAGTTCTGGGCAGGTTGTGTTCAGTGAGTGGTAGCTCTGGTTCCAGTAGAACGAACTAACTGGTCTACACAGACCCTTCATCTCTTCAGGTATTGGCTCAAGATCTGAAGTGCTAGTTTCTCCTCTTGGTCCCAGCAGGGGCTAAGATTTGGGGGGAAATGCCAAAATGCTTTAAATATAGTTCAAGCCTGGTGGTGGTGGCACACACTTTTAATCCCAGTACTTGAGAGGCAGGCGGATCTCTGAGTTTGAGGCCAGGTGGTCTACAGCGTGAGTTCCAGGACAGCTAGGGCTACACAGAGAAACCCTGCCTTAAAACTAAATAAATAAATATTATGGTTCAAACCCTGACTCTTTGAACCACTTGGGAAGCTTTTCTTTTTTTGTTTTCTTTTTTGACACAGGGATCCTCCATGTTGTTGGGGCTGACCTACAGCTCCTGGCCTCAAGCATTTCTCTCTGAACCCCAGAAGGAGCAGGAACTTCAGATGTGACTCTGGAGAGCTTTAGCATGTAGATGGATAACCCCTTTCTCATGTTTTATTCAGAACCTTGCAAAGCAGCTATGGTTTGTCCACCTGTAGTCCCAGCCGCCTGGAGGCTGAGGTAGGAGGATTGTTGGAGTCCCAGAGTTTTAGGCCATCCTAGACCTAAAGGAAGATCTATCTCAAAAAAAAAAAAAAAAGGTGGAGACTGAGGAGGTGAGTCTGTTAGTTAGTAAATGCTTGCCACACAAGCAGGAGGATCTGAGTTTGATCCCAGCACCCACTTAAAAAGATGGAATGGACACTG